CAGTCACTGGGCTCTCTTCCAATACAGCGAAGAAAAAATCAACATCTTTGGGGATCTTTTCTTCGACAAACACTGAATCCTTTATCATCTCACTGGCTGTCACAGCTCTGAGAAACCTGGTGTCCTCTCCCCACTTTACAGATGAGAAGCCCGAGGAGCAGAAAAGGAAGGTAACTCACGCAGAATCACAGAATTGGTAAGTGGCTTTCAGAGTTCATAGCAAAAACTACAACTGTTTTCTTTCCTCCCTCCCTTTCTTTCCTGACTTTTTTCTTTTCTTCTTGTTTTCTGTTTGTTTATCTGTTTATTATTGTTGTTTTTCTTTTTTGAAACAGAGTTTCTTTGTATAGCCATAGCTGTCCTGGAACTCACTCTGTGGACCAGGCCAGTCTTGAACTCAGAGATACGACTGCCTCTGCTCCCGAAGTGCAGAGATTAAAGGTGTGCGCCAACATGCCCAGCTACAACTGGCTTCTAAACTGAGACTTCCCTTTCTCTCTGCCTGTTCCTTCCCCAAACAGCTGACTCCTTCTCGCCTATGCTGGTCACAGGCTATATCCTTTACCGGATCTTGGCTTCTACCGTTGTCTTTAGGAAGTCTGAACAGGTTTGTGTTAAATAGCTCTCCTATGTTAACATTTTGTCCCAGGTTTGAAACCTAGCTGTTAGTTCACAGTCTTAGGGGAAATACCCAAGGAGAAGTCAAACAGATTTCTGATGGAAGGGTTCCAAACAGACCTGGTATAGGAAGCAGCAGCCGAACGTTGCCTGGGGAGGGGAGAATGGGGAATTCCATACTTAGTGGAACAGCATTTGCGAAGACGCCGAGGAATAGCTTGGGAACAGCAAGCTGTCTGCTTCGAGTACAACATGAAGTCAAACGCTGGGTCAGAGGACAAGAGAGACGAGGCATAGGAGAAGCCAGGAGGGAGATCCGAGGCAAGGCTGTCCATGGGAAGAAGAGGGAGTACTTTCCCCATGATGGAGATCACAATGAAGTAAGTAGCAATTCCTGCCAAGGGCTGTCAAGGCTGAGGAGAAGCAAGGATTGCATTCCATCGTGTTATGTTAACAAAATAATGAGCCAAAATATAAACTAATTCTCCATGCAGACATTCCAAAACTGCTCTTGGAGAAACAGAGGACCCAAGAACATGTGTGAATGAGGTCAAGTACAGGCCAAGACAGATAGACAAGAGGTGTTAGCAAGATGACATAACTGTAGAGCCTATGAAAAAAAGCACAGTCCGTCCCTCCCTTCGGGAAAATGTGAGGCAGATGGTGTTCTGTGCCACCAGTGAGGTGATTCACGCGGGATCAGAGGAAGTTCAGATCACACTTCAATGGAAAAGGCTTCAAGAAATACATAATGATTGGAGTTCGCTCTAATTTCTTCAAAATCCTAGAAATAATAAAACTGTGTCCTCTAAGTCTGAATGAAGGATGACTGCACCTCGGTGACCACCCCCACCCACTGTCACCCCGACTGTGAGTCACACCGACATTTCTGAGTCGGTCTCATAAAATCAATAAGCGCTATGGCTTTTGATTTCCCATATCCAGGACAAGAAACGGGATGATATTATTTGTGGTCCTTTAAGATGCTCACTTGGCTCAAGTAGATTCTTGGAGCATGATCTGTCTGTTTCTGCTTGGTCCCCTGGGCACACTGCAGAGCTCAAAAACTTTGCTGTCATTTAATTTTTGATTAGTGACATAATTTTGGTGCAAAAGGCTGCTTGAGTTAGTTATGGGTTTCAATGCAAGCTTGTAACATGAGACGCTCTTTCCTGAGCATCAACAGATTCATCATCACATTGGGATGTCGCTGTCTTCAGCAGCTGCGACACTGATGGTGAATGTCCCTCCCCTGCCTAAGTCTTTTTGAGTCTTAGTGTTGACTGAATGCATTCTGAATTCCTGAGCTCAGCCTGCGAGGATGTGGCTTCTACCACCTTTTGAAAAGTCCTTACTGTGTCAATCTGTTCTGGCTGCCATAAAAACAAAAACAAAAACAAAAACAAAAACAAAAAACAAAAAACAAAAAACAAAAAAAACCCAAAAAACCCAACCAACAAAACCCACGTAGCTGGTGGCTTACAAGCAACAGTCACCGGCACAGTTCTCCAGGAACTCAAAGATGGAGGTGGCTGCTTTCCAGCTCACGCTCAGCGCTTTCTTCCTGTGTCCACACTTGGTAGGTGGGTCAAGAGCCACTCACGGCCTTCTTTTCTTTTAAATTATTTTGCAATTACATTTTTATTTTGTGTGTGTGCACACGCGTCACTGTGTGCATGTGGAGAAGAGAGGAAAGGACAGCTCTGGCGAGTCATTCTCTCCTTGTACCACGTGGGTCTCAGGGACTGAACTCAGGGTTGTCAGGTTTAGCAGCAGCGAATACCTTTTACCCTCTAAGCCAGTGGTGAGCTTCTCCACCTTCCTAACGCCGCGACCCTTTAATACAGTTCCTCATGTTGTGCTGACCCCAGCCATAACATTGTTTTCATTGCTACTTCATAGTTACAATTTTGTTACTGTTTTGAATTGTAACAAAAGTATCTGATATTTCCGGTGGTCATAGGTGACCCCTGTGAAAGAGTCTGCCCCAAAGGGGTTGTGACCCACACATTGAGAACCGCTGCCCTAAGCCATCTTTTCCTAAGGACTCAGATCCCATTGGAAAGCCCCACTTCCTGATACCAACAGCTTGAGGGGTAGATTACTGCAGAGGAACTGGGGCGGCGTTCAGACACTCAGACACTGCAGTAACTTTTCCCCGATGCCATTTTTCATTCTCTTAAAGGTTGCTGTTAACTGTCAGTTTGACGGTACCTGTGGGCGATTGTCTTGAGCTCCTTAGTTGAGGTGGAGGACTTACCCACTGTGAGCAGCACCATTTCCTGGCCGAGATTCTGGGCCAGGCGTGGAAGAGGAGAGCTGAGCAGCAGCTTGTCCTCAGTGCTCTCTGCTTCCTGGCTGCAGACGCGGTGGACCAGCTGGCTCAGTCTGCGGCCATCGTGACTTCCCAGCCACAGTGGCCATACTCGTGACCTGTGGGCCACTGTAAGCCCTTTATCCTTGAGTTTCTTTTCTCAGAGTGCTTTATCACAGGGACAGGGAAAGAAACTAAGACACCCTCCAGCCATGCTGGTTATCTTTCTATCTCTCAGTCCTGCCAGAGCATTTCCTGCTCTGAAGAGACTTTAGGGCTAGCTCCTGTCCATCCTTCAGAATGTGTCTCTAATGTCACTGTACTGACACAGAGTGATCACAGCAGGTATGATTAAGCTGTAATAATCATTTTTTTTATTGATACGTTATGTTTACTCTCTTTCTCACTAATATGCAAACTTTGAGAACATAGGGACCAAACGTAGGCAGAACCTAGCCTGTTTTCAAGTCTCAGTTCAAATATTGTTTGTTTGTTTTTGTTTTCTATTCTCGGGGCCTGACAAATAGTCAATAACTGAAGAAAGAATGAATAAATACAAAAGGAGACAAAAGGAAATAGTTTGAAAATAAATATATAAATACTAAGACATGAGGGGGAAAATTATGAAACCACAGAACCCAAGCTGGCAATAATAGGCCATTTTTAAACCCCGTGGTTTAAATGGTAGAATGGAGAGCATCAGTTGCTTCAGGTTGTTATCAAACAACTGATTTTAAGTTTGTTTATTCGTTATTAAAACTGCAACAGCTTTTTTCTCAATCAGACAACTAGGCAATACTTGTCAATACTCTCCATCTCAGAGTTAGTAAAAATAAATATTAAAGTCAGGTGTGGTGGCGCACGCCTTTAATCTCAGTGGGAGGCAGAGGTAGGTGGATCTCTGAGTTCCAGGCCAGCCTGGTCTACAGAGCGAGTTTCAGGAGAGTCAGGGCTACTGTTTGTTTTCAAAAAACAAAACAAAACAAACAAAAAAAGAATAAATACTATAAAGTTCTTTCAACTTGAATATATGCCACTAAAACATTATCCTTAAAAAGCTAATCACGTCCTGTAACCCAAGCACTTGGAAGATGGAGACAGAAAGATTAGGATAGCCTCAGCTACATATCAAATTCAAAGCGAGCCTGGGCTATATGAGATTCCCCAGAAGTCAAAACAAACAATTTTTTAAAAATTGGCATCTATAACCAGATGCTTCACGTTCGGGAAGCTGAAATAGGAGGATACTATGAGCTACAGTCTATGTAGTCATAGATGAGATCTCGTCTCAAAAATCAATAATCAAAATGACAGCAAAGAAAACCACCCCCCAAAACCAGTTATTTAATTATCAACTACCATAACAGAGCCAGTTCTACTGAAGTACATATATGTTGCTATGTACATCTGATGCTAAATGTTTGGAGTAGCTGTAATTGTGAAGTTCTATTTGACTTTGCTTAGTGCTAACATTAATACATGGATTGATGAAATGCCATCAGGGAAAGGAATATTTTACGAGTCCTTATCATTCAGGGTAACAAACTGAACCTTGCTAATGTGAACACAACCAGCTGTCACTTTTGCTCACTTCAAAAGGGAATGCTATTCTCATGAGGACGTCATCACCAGAAAGTTCTAAGTACAGGTGCCATTTAAAATCGTTTTGCGATTTGATGAATGAAAGTCCAATCTTACTTCTAATCCTCTTTATCCCTAGCATCCTGCCAAATGACCTCCATAGTAAGAATTTATATCTAAATATCACTTTCAACCTTTTAGCCAATTTTCCTCTATTTTAAGAATAAAACAGGGCAAAACTTGCCTAGAAATTCATTCTATAATGGTGAATGTCAAAGATGACGCCAACTTGCTGGCATTTTTTTTTCTTTTATTTCACAAATTGAAAACAACTCTCTCAACAATCCAGAACAAACTACAGCTTTTGACACTAGAAGGAAGAGCATCCTTCTCCACAGGCAGAGAAGGGAGAGGTCATCTCAACCCAATCCTTCCAGCGCAGAGCGCCTGAGTCCTTGCAGGTCAAAGGCTCTGGCTGGTTCGTTACTTTAGGGCTGCTCTCCAGAGCTGAAGCTGTAGGGAAGGCCTCGTTCTCATTGGCTGCTATGAATAAAAATCGAATCATTCCATCATGTCTTGAGAGGGTTTTATGGAAATGCCAGGCATAGATAGCTTCAAGTACAGCAGCTCTCTGAATGCGTGCCTTGGGAGCAATGCTAAGCCACGTAGTAAAGGGCGTCACTATGGCTGCTAAGGCATATTTGTGTGACAGATTGGGCTGTTCAGGCTCCTACAGGTCAAAGCCTGCAGTCCTTGAAAGGAGAAAGCCGGGAATTCGCCCCGCCTGGCCTGCAGCTCTCCACAGCTCTGTAATCCCACTGAACCTGTCTGGCAGCTCAAAGGCTGCAGCGGCTGTGCCTGGCAGATAAGACCCTCTCGGGAAGCCTGATGGCTTCTGTCAATAAGGAAACTGCAGAGCGCCACTGGAATTTTCCAAACCATAAAGAAAAAAAAAATCTCCGGTTTGAAAATGTGCAGATAACCAATCATGACCGAGCTGCTGAATAGAACTTTTAGTAAGGAACGATAGACCACAATTCTGTGCTTCCTAACAGTCAGTCATATGCAAATCCCACATCGTCTCCTGGACAGAAGCAGCTATTGTTTGCTTCCCGGTTGCATCATCACCGGAGACTTAAGATCTCCACAGCTTTCAGACGCGGTTCCGACGGGTGCCAGCTCAGGTTTCACAATTAGAGAGTTAGGGCAGATTCCATTTAAGTACAACGAATGTTCTTCCCTCTCGAAAGGTCGATTTGGATTAGGTCAGGGGGCAAATGACTATCTTACCCATGGTCCATGAGGAAGTGAGGCTTCCAGCTAGAGGAAGGACTGCCTGGTGCTCTGGAAGCCCAGATGTGGGGGCTGACTGATCAACCCACCGCTCCTTACTAACCCTCCCCCGGGACCAGAGCACCTCCCCCAAAAAGTGCTGCTGAGTCTAGACTTTCCAAAACTCCTAGTCACTGGGAGAGAGAGAGATTGATGGACACTAACTGCCAATAGGTCCGTCACGGTGAGAGAAATGAAGGGTTACTTGGAATTCAGTGCTAAAAAGGAGCACAAGGTTGCAGTCGGAGAAGGAAGAAAAAGACTGGACAGACAGTAGAGGGAGGGCTGGCGCGTCTCAGAGAGCCCAGGGGAGCCAGGAGGAGGGGTCGGGGAGGTGCCGCTGGCTGCCCTGTTGAAAACAGGGGCCTGTCTCTTAGTGTCTTCAGTCTGTCAGGGTTTATTCCAGCCCGGCTTTCACTAGTGCCTGTCCTTTGCTGATGGCATGCTTCAGTGTAAGGTGGAGTTCCTTCAAGTTGTTAGCTTCTAGCTGATGGACTGTGCTTCGGTTGGTTCAAAGAAGTGATATATACGTATGAATCAACTCAAGAGAAGTTACGTGTGCTGGGGATACAGCTGAGCTGATGTGGCTCAGTCCCAGAGAAAGCGAGTAGAAAGCCTGGGTTTCATCCCCAGCAGAACAGGAGGCCAGATGTGGGGGTGCGTGCCTGGGAGGTCAAGCAGAGGGCAGAAGTTCAAGTCCGTCCTTGGCTACACAGTGAATTTGAGGAATGCCGGGGACACGGGAGACACTGTCCAACAAACAACTGTCTGGTGACTCAGGCCTCTAGTCCCATCTTCACTTTGGAGGCTGAGGCAGGAAGATTGCCATCAACTGGGGGCCACAGCATGGTAATTTCCAAGCCGGTCTAGGCTACCGAGTGAAACTTTGTCTTGAAAAAGCAAAAACTAAAACAAAACAAAATTTAAAATAGGGTAACAAAACTCACAGATCGGGAGAGGACTCAGCGGAAAAGAATGCTTGTTCTGTAAGCATGAGGACCTGACTTTGAATCCCCGGCACCCAAATACCAAAAAGGAAACCCCACCAGAAGCACAGGCCAGTGGTGTGGATGCCTGTAACCCCAGCCCTGGCTGGAGACACAGGTCCTGGAGCTCCTGGCCAGCCTGCCCAGCTGAAAAGGCGATTTCTACCCAGTGGGAGACCCTGTCACAAGGCAACGAGGTGAAGGTTGACAGAGTCAGACAGGCCACCCGCCTTCTTCCGGCCTCTGCCTGCACACTTACTCTACCATTTTTCCAGGCGAAGGTTTACTTACTTTTAACTTTTTAAAGATTTGTTTTAATTTTATTTGTATGAATATTTTGCTTGCATATATATATAAGTGTGCCATGTATGTGCCTACAGATGGTTGTGAGCTTCCATGTGGGTTCCAGAAACTGAACATAGGTCTCTGTACAAACAGTAAGTGCTCGACCTCTGAGCCAACTCTTCAGCTCCTAGTTTATTATTTATTTTAGGATGGAAGACTTTAAACACTCAGACATTCTTATTGCTTTAAATCAGCTTTAAATAGATTAGGAAATTAGTCAATATTACCTAAGTATTTTCATGACACTTCAAGTTTCTTCTTAAATTAAAGTCTAATTTAAGTAGAAGCTAATTGAAATTTTTCATTATTTTATTTTACTCATGATGAAAATTGCCTGAATATATAAATATACACCTTTTAAAATTGAAAAAATATTGTAACTATGTAGGGACCTGACACGGTGTCACTCTGTAATTCCTGCTAACATTTTGGTGACTACCTGTTTCAGTTCCATTTCTGCTGTGATTAAATACCCTAACAAAGCACCTGAGGGGAGGAGGAGAGGTCTACTGTAGTTCACCATTCCAGGGTACAGTCCATCAGTGCTGGGAAATGAAGCTGGCAGGAACGTGAAGCAGCCAGCCCTATCACATCCTTAGCCAAGAGCAGAAAGAAGAGAATGCACACATGTACTTAGCAGACTTCTCTGCTCTTAGTCCAGGGCCCAAACTTAGGGGGTGGTGCCGCCCACTTTCAGGTTGGGTCTTCTCACATCAGTTGAGGCATCAAAACAACCCCCCCCCCCCAACATACCCTGATCTAGACAATGCAGAGGTATGTTTCTGAGGGGATTCTAACTCCAGTCAAACTGACAGTGAAGATTAACCGTCAATCATCGTGTAAGGGAGCAAGCAACCTCACCTTTTACTACATGTAGAGTGAGTTATTTGGTGGCACATGAATTAAAAGTATAGCATTCTGAGCCGGGCGGTGATGGTGCACACCTTGAATGCCAGCACTCGGGAGGCAGAGGCAGGCGGATCTCTGTGAGTTCAAGGCCAGCCTGGGCTACAGAGTTGAGTTCCAGGAAAGGCGCAAAGCTATACAGAGAAACCCTGTCTCGAAAAACCAAATAATAAAAAAAAAAAGTATAGCTTTCTGTATATACTAATTTACTGTGTGTCCAAGCATCTGGGGCATCTGCAAAAATATGCAATTAAAACAGCATGGACAGAGACCTGCCAGAACGGATGATGCCTGCTAGTGCAGGGCAGTACCGCTGATACAGGGCTATTGTGCAGACCGAGAGGACAGCAGTCCTGCCCTGAGACGACAGAGGCTGTTTCTGCCTTCTCTATTCTGTTTCATTGGCTTGTTTGTCTACCCCTGTGCCAAGTTCATGTTCTAATTTCACAGGCCTTTGGAGTATTTCAGTATCTGAGATTATTAGCATATTTTTTCTTGGCTATTCTCATGCATTTATTCTTACACTTGGACTTCAAGTCCTATTTATGTTCCTCTTGAATAGATAATAAGTGTCTTCCTCAATTGCTGCCAACCATGTGTTTGAAAGGATCTCTAGACCCTAGAGCCCACCAATTCACTCCGGCTGGCCACACGTCTCAGGGATCCTCCTGTCTCTAGCTCTCCCACACTGGGATTATAGGTGTGGTGCCGCTGTTGTTGGATTTTCACGTGAGTCCTGGGGATTGAACTCACATCCTTATGCTTGTATGGCAAGCACTTTACCAACTGAGACATCTCTCCAGACCCAGTCCATTACTTTAAGGTGAACTCCATAGGCTCATCACAACTAAAGATCTTCTTGGAGAACTAGCTGAGGCCTTTCCTGTGACTGTATCCATTTTGAGCAATGTCTCTTCTCTGGATATTGATACTAAGATCTCTCCCAGGAAACCTACTGCTGTCAATCTCTGCATTACCAGTCCCCAGGTAACCAACCTTAGACCTTTCAGTCCTTGAAGGAAATGGCCGGATGCTGACATGGCGGGGTATTAAGAGAGGAGTAGCCTAAGTTTCAGATGTGGTTGAATACCTTACCAGCTCCAATGGCCCGGGGTTACAAAAGGAAAAGGAAGCTTCTAGGTGGTGAGGGTTTGAGTGAGAATGGTCCCATTGGCAGTTGAATGTTTGGTCCCCAGTTAGTGGAACTGTTTGGGAAGGATTAGGAGGTGTGGCTCTGTTGGAAGAGATGTGTCACTGGGGGTGGGCTTGGAGGTTTCAAAAGCCCGTGCCAGGTCCAGTCTTACTCTTTCTCTCTGCCTGCTGCCTTCACATCAGGATTTAAGCTCTCAGCTACTGCCTCAGCTGCTGCTTGCAAGCCCCGCACCTTGACGGCCGTAGACAGATGCTCTGAAGCTGTAAGCAGGCCCTAGTTAAATGCTTCCTTTTACAAGTTACCTTAGACATGGTGTCTCCTCACTCCAACAATGACTAAGACAGCTGCAGAAACCACTGGATGTATTAAGAGGCCCCAAGACAGGAGTATTAACTTTTGTAATATTAAATTCTCCTACCTAGAACATTGAGACATTTATCCCTTTAAAAACAATCTTACCATTTAAAAAAAAAAAAAACATAACTTCTAAACATATTTTATGTATTCATTACTTTAAAAAACTATTTGGTGTGTGTTTGTGTATCTGTATGTCTACATGTGTGCACGCATGCTATAGCACGTACACAGAAGGCAGAGTTGGTTGTCTCTGTCTACCTGTAGGGTCATGATTGAACCGAGGTCGCCAGGCTTGGCAGCAAGTACCTTTACATGCCGAGCCATCTCACCAGCCTTCCTTTCCTTAATATATGTCTCAAACCTTTCATGTTAAGTTTATCTGAAGAATTAATTTATAGTTGCTTTGTTCATGAGAATGAAGGCTTTTCTCTTTTCTATTTGTCAGTGGCTATTTTCAAAGTAGAAAAAAAAAGCCATTACACTTTTCTACAGGGGGTGTTGAAACAAATTCTACGTGCATATTCC